TAAGTTGAGATTATTAGATTACCGAACCTATATCAATCAAATATCTTCTTCAATTAAAATATTCCCAAGTTCAAAGTAGTGAGAAATGTGCTTGGATACTTAATCTTAAGTTCATTAATTTCCCATGTTATTTTTAACTAAGATCAAGGTAAATTTTAAATTATAAAAAAAGTCGGTAAAAAAATCCTATTTTGTTAGATGATATTAATGTTTATAACACTAACGACTTGTTGGTTCGAATAGAAGGAGTTTGATTTGTTTTAAATAAAATTTCAAATTCAAATTTTGTGAATAAATAGAGAAATAAACGTTGAATGAACTTTCACTTAATGGAATTTGATGCGGTTCGATTTTGAATTAATTGAGACGCAATATAATTATCGGATATTGAGATATTAGTATAAAAAAAAATTAATGTTTATAATAAAATTTTATTAAACTAAATAGTTTTAGAGTATTTTTTTTACTTAATTTTTTATAATACAAGTTAATACTTATTTTTCATGATTAAAAAGCCTTTTAATCTATCACAAAAATAATTTGTTAATCATATTTGTTGGTAATAAACAATTTTGCAAAATACAATACCGGAACAAAATATAACAAAATATAAGGTGATAGTAATTCTCATTAACTTTTTTTCATATAATGTGAATGGCTATGCCTTTTTATTTATCATTTAGTGTATGTGATTGTTATAAAGATTTATCATAAAAGTAGATTCTCAACCAATAATCAATGCTTTTTGTGAGGGTATTAAGGAATTTTTAAAGTAGAGTGCAAAGATAAGTTTATTTCCATTTCCATTTTAAAGTGCGCTTGTTTTTAAGTTCACTGAATTTCTTTTATCTTTGGGAATATTTCGTGAGCATATTTTTCATACTACTTTTCATGCATTTTATCTGTGATGACATATATTTTAAGTAATATATATTTTTTATAGTGTATGAATTATAATTAAATTTTTTATATTAAAATTAAAAAAACTCACATGTTAGAAAAAAAATTAATTATTATTTATATAATATAAAAAAAAACCACCTAAAAATGATTTTAAGCTCAAAAATTAGTTGCTTTAATTAATCTGTCGTGTTCGGGTCACACAAACAATGGAACTTGAGCCAAAATGGGGGCAGGGGGAAACGGAGCGATTTATTGAAAACAAGATCGGGGAAAGTAGAGTATAATCGGCTCCCAGAATCACTGTAGTTGGTGTGCCCACTGCCCGACTGCACTGCACAAGAATCACAACCACACTCACTCCCATTTAAAGGTCCCATCACTGCATCACTCCTCGTTACCTTTTCGGCCCTTCCTAGTCTCAAGAACCTCTCTGTCGGTTCTGTTCTCGGAATCTCAGATCCGAACGACGGAGCAGGAAGATGAAGGTGGTAGATAAGATTAGAGCTCTTGTGGAGGACCAAAACAAGGTCGTTTTCTCCTTCGAGTACTTTCCCCCCAAGACTGAGGATGGAGTGGACAACCTGTTCGAGAGGATGGATCGGATGGTGGCGCATAATCCTGCATTCTGCGACATCACCTGGGGAGCCGGTGGCTCCACCGCCGATCTCACCCTCGACATTGCCAACAAGATGCAGAACATCGTCTGTGTCGAGACCATGATGCATCTCACCTGTACCAACATGCCTGTCGAGAAGATCGACCACGCGCTTGCGACTATCAAGTCCAATGGCATCCAGAACGTTCTCGCTCTCCGCGGAGATCCGCCTCACGGCCAGGACAAGTTCGTCCAGGTTCAAGGTGGATTCGCGTGCGCTCTCGATCTGGTGAGCAAACGCTTTTTTCTATTTCATTTCCTGTTTACGCAGATCTGGCTTTATTCAATTGATCCGTGATGCTTGTGTCTAGGTGCAACACATCAGAAGAGAATATGGTGATTACTTTGGTATTACTGTTGCTGGCTATCCAGGTGCTGTTCGTCTTCTTCATGTTATCTGCTTTATTGATCGTTCCTTTGGTTATTAGGAGTGGCATTTGTAGCTTACATTCCGCGTTTCTGTGCAGAGGCGCATCCTGAAGTTATTGGGAGCAATGGAGTCGCTTCGCCGGAAGCTTATCAGAAGGACCTCGAATACTTGAAGCGAAAGGTCTTACTCTAATTGATATATGGCAAATCATTATAAATCTTATTGTTCTTCTTCCTCTTTGTCTTCTCCATGTGATAATATACCTTCAGATCAGTGATCAATCACTTAATTTTGCGAGAATGCTTTTCTTATGCTGAATAACAGCTGTCTTGGTTATAATTTCCTGACATTTTGTTTGCTCTTTAGGTCGATGCTGGTGCTGATTTGATTATTACTCAATTGTTCTATGATACTGACATCTTCCTGAAGTTTGTGAATGACTGCCGCCAAATTGGAATTAAATGCCCTATTGTTCCCGGGATTATGCCAATTAATAACTACAAGGGCTTCTTGCGTATGACTGGGTTCTGTAAAACCAAGGTATGCTACATAGGGACGTTTTGGGTTGTAGAATACAAAAACTAGATAGATCTATTGCATTAATTGGATATTCTAGTTACCTGAATGTTCAAATAATTTTGTGAGTTGAGAAGAGGAAGTCTGCTTAATGCTGATTGTGATCAAACTTCTCTATATAAATCCATGTTAAAAGAGTTACGGTAGCAAAAAGGCACCCATTCTTGAGTTTTTATTTCACGTAGCATTAGGGAAATCAGTACAATGCACTGCTTTGAATGTTAAAATAGTAGTTTGGAATAGCCACAGTTTAGTTGCAGGAAGCTCTTTTGTATGACATCTGTTCTGATGGGCTAGTGGTTAAATTTTCAAAGGGACTATATGCCCTTTTATTTGAATTGGTTCTCCATTCCCCCATTCGCTGCATCTGTAGGTGTTTCATTGTCTGTGCTGTCTCATGTTCTCAAATGGTTCATTACATTTTATATAAAAGCATTTAGAAGTTTGTTTAGTGAACTAAATGGTTCCTATTGGTGGTAGTAATCTGATTCATAGTTTTATTTAATGGCTCGTTGTAGATACCAGCTGAGATTACTGCTGCCTTGGAGCCTATCAAAGACAGTGAAGAAGCTGTCAAATCCTATGGGATTCACCTTGGAACAGAGATGTGTAAGAAGATTTTAGCTCATGGGATTAAGACTCTGCATCTATATACGCTGAACATGGAGAAGTCAGCACTAGCTATATTAGTGGTTGGTTCTTATGCAGCATTCACTGTTCTGGCTTAAGATGTGAAGATGTTTTGCATATGCCGTGTGTAATGCTTAATTGCTTCAAAGGAGCTTTTCTAATGATATTCTTATGTTGGCAGAACCTTGGTTTGATTGAAGAATCAAAAATTTCTAGGTCATTGCCTTGGAGGCGCCCTACAAATGTTTTCCGTGTTAAAGAAGATGTTCGCCCAATATTTTGGTTTGCAATATGCTATAAATTTGTTGCTTTTTAGCAGATATGATAAATTTGCCTATATATGTTATTCTCTTCATCCACATTGGTAGGGCTAATCGTCCAAAGAGCTATATAACAAGAACTTTAGGCTGGGAACAATATCCCCATGGCCGATGGGGTGATTCTCACAATCCGTCATATGGAGCACTCTCTGACCATCAGGCATGTCACTGTTTTTATGGAATTAATGTTTTAAACCATCAATTAATCTTTGTTTGTATTAGTATTAGCCACACATCACCAAAGAGATAATTTTCTGAACAGTTCATGCGTCCACGTTCACGTGACAAGAAACTTCAAGAAGAATGGGTTACTCCCCTGAAAAGCATTGAGGATATCCAAGAGGTAATGTATGCATGTTGCAATTTTTTTAAACTCAGCTCCTGTTAAGCTAACCAGATGAAAGTTGTAGATATTATTAGGATTGTTTTGGGAAAGTAGCAAATATTAATGATTGTTTATGGACTGTTACATTTCAGAAATTCAAGCAGTTTTGTCTTGGCGAATTGAGAAGTAGTCCTTGGTCAGAATTAGATGGGCTTCAACCAGAGACAAAGATCATTAACGAACAGCTGGAAAAGATCAACTTGAAGGGCTTCCTCACTATCAACAGCCAACCAGCAGTCAATGGAGAAAGATCTGATTCTCCATCTGTCGGTAAGTATGAGTGTTAGAAATATAATGTCAACTAATTCTCTACTGCAAATTTTTATTTTAGACAAGCGCCTCCTTTAAAGCCTTTTGCTTAATTATAGTATTTCATTTATTTGCGTGGCTTATGTGCTGGACAATGGTTCAAAACGTAGGGTGACACCTAATTACAATACCATTTTGCTGATCAAAAAAAGCAAAGATATATAGATATCTATAATTCTCAATTTGCCAAGACAGCATGGATATCTATAATTCTCTATCTGCTGCCTCCAATATTTGGTTATACCCTGTACCAAAAAAATATTTGGTTATACCCTGGCAAAATTTCCTGTCTGTGAACAACTGTTTTATTATTTAATTCATGCGGACAAAATGATTTGCAAATTTCTTTTGGTTACTTGTCTAGGATTCCATGCCTGTGTTGACTTAAGTTTGTAGCTTTCCAGTGCATAATGTCACATTTTGCTACTGTGACTTTTTTCTCTCTATATTCCTCTTATGACTTGTAAATAATCTGAACTCATACTAAAAGAGATCAATGAGATCTATAATTAAAGAAGGGTACGTCGGTAATTTTAAAAAATTAGGTTTATATCTCTAGTTCAATCTTGCTTATGAAGTTTTAACCCAATGGTACTCACATTCACCTGCCATAACACATGCAAGTTTGATTTTCTGTTGGCTTGGAGAAGAACAGAGATGACTATGGTAGGTTACGCTAATCTGGATAGATTTGAACTAACATTTTTTATGACACGAGATTTAAAGAATGATTTATGGATTAAATGAGTGAATATCATAACAGAGAAACAAATTTCTGTCTCACTTCTAAGAAATTCTGTTTCCTAAAATATATTTTTCTGTCAGAAATGTCTTTTTTTCCTCTCAAATTATAAATTGGTTCAGGCTTTAGAACTTAGGTTCAAATATAACATGTGTGCTGTATGAATTCAAGAGTAAACCATTACAGTAATTAGATTTATAGAGAAACCAGTACCTCTATTGCCTGCCTCTCAAGTTAAGTGAAAGGACGTCTTACTCCCTGAAATGATTTCTCTGAACAAGGTGCAGTGCTATAATTCTCAGGCTTGCTACAGACTTCTGTCTGCCCTGATTAATTCTGGCATGTCAATGCTTGCAGGTTGGGGAGGACCCGGTGGCTATGTTTACCAGAAGGCTTATCTGGAATTTTTCTGCTCCAGGGATAAGTTGAATGCACTTGTTGAGAAGTCCAGGGCTTTCACGTATCTAACCTACATTGCTATCAACAAAGAAGGGTCATTTATATCAAATGTTGGTCTTGGTGATGTGAATGCTGTAACTTGGGGAGCCTTCCCAGCCAAGGAGATCATTCAACCAACTGTAGTGGATCCTAACAGCTTCATGGTGTGGAAGGATGAAGCATTTGAAATCTGGTCTAGGTCTTGGGCTAACTTATATCCAGAGGATGACCCATCTAAGAAATTGCTTGAAGAGGTTAACATTCTTTAGAAACTGCCCAATCTCCGCTTCCTCTTTTTCATAGATCAGTAAAGGTATTAAGATGATATTATTTTTCTCTTTGCAGGTGCAGAGCAGCTACTATTTGGTCAGCTTGGTGGATAACGATTACATCAATGGTGATATCTTTGCCGCTTTTGCTGATCTCTAAGATGAGTTATTATTACTACCACACGCCATCACACTTGAAGCATTCTCATTATGATCTCTAGTTTCAATTGGCATGGGATGCATTTCTTAATCTGCAATTTTCTTTATTTGTAATAATAACTCATTGGGGTTTTGATGTGTCCCCTTCTTCATGTTCAAATTACATTTGAACTGGTTATCTAAAGCAAATGTAAAATCCATTTGATTTATTTCCTGTAATCCATTATCTCAAATTTTCTGGTGTATAGGGATACTTCTAGGGTTATGTATTTTCATGTAACAGGTGAATAACGTATTATGTGAAAAACGTAAAGAGGTTTTTTGTTTGCGTAAGCTAGGATTTTATCGACCTCTAGGCTAAAAGTAATTTTAATCATGGTCATCGATAAATCCTTGCTTTCTATTGCAAATAAAATAGATGATCTTTGTTCAGAAGATAAATGATTCACGCTAGAGTGCTCAAGTCTTTCAAACTAAATGCCCAAATCTTTCAGACTTAAAGATATGCCCTTGTATGTTTTCTTCTTGGCCATAAATATGCCCTTGGACCTTGGTTAACTAACACGAAATCTCAAATCTCTGTAAACCGCTTGCAAGGCACCCTAACTCCCCTGAAGTTCCTTGTCTTCTCATCTAAAACAATAATAGAAACATATAATTCTCTTATAGCTACGCAATTGGAAGTGGAATACAATCTGCATCTCCTACTTGTTTGATCATAAATTTGAATTGATCACAGAATTAATAAACCGACCTTAATTTGATTTCTGGTTACAGTAAGTATGTTACAGTTCTTCAGAAAATGCAGCTCAAAAGTATCTTGAACCAGTCAATGGAAATCATGGCAAGAAAACCTGAAAGGCAAGAGGGAAATACCATTTCTTGATATGTTGGTTTAGAAATGGTTCAGTTTCAGACAAAGGCAATCATCTACAACACCCCAACCTGCCTCGTATCAGCCTTTTCAGTTGCAGGTGCGTTGATGTTATCTTTACAGTTTACGGATACTTTCTTCTGTACACTCTGATTTTATTCCTTTTACCTCTCCAACTTTTTCAACCATTTATTCCTTCTGTTTTGGTTAACCCCATGAATTTACTCCACATGACCAAAAAGAACAAACCAATAATGGCAAGAGGATGTGTAAGAGCATTTCGCTTTGCATTAAAAATATTAAAATATGTAATTATAATTAAAAAAAAAACATAATATATATTTTATTTAAATTTTATTTATCATGTAATTAGGTAAAGTGATTCGTAAAAACTTTGTTATTAAAAAAAATAAAATAAAATTGTTGTCACAAACTTTTCATGCTTCCTAAAGAGAAGCAGATGGGAAAAATTTTTTTTCTAAGATTTTTCTTAATATTATTTTCTTACCATTTTCTCCTAACAAGTCGAAGCTCCAATTATTATGGAAGATAAAAAAATAAAATAAATATTTAGGTAGTATTATTGCAAAGTGGTTAGTTTGGGGGAGCGGTTTGCATGGATGACCGGTTGGGTAGAGGGCCCACACAGACTGTAATTAAAACTCCATAATAACCGCCAATCGCGTGAATCCTCAAATTACACCTTTGCCATTCTCAATGAATGCCTTTTTTTTTTATTTTATTACATGGTATAAAATTTAAAACTTCTAATAAAAAATGAATATTATTAAATATATTACAAAAT